AATACATATATATGTATTTAGTGTCACCACCTCTGGCATGCCCAAATATGGGAGGAAGCTTACTACTCCCTATCTCTGTCTATCGGCTCATCACAAGAGACCATCACGACAGAAAGCCATCATTTTTACTGTTGCCTTTGTTACATTTGTGTTGCATTTGTGCTGATAAATAAATGAAGGGAGACTAGTATAGATCTATTTCAAGCTATTTAGCTCTCATCAGCTAGCTAAAGTCAAAACCATAGAAATCATTTTATAGCTTACTCTGTTTGCAGTTGAGGTTCATTCAGCAAGTCATTTTGAACAATCTGCCTCATGCCTGGGATTTTATTTTCCCTTGTGGTGATGTCATGATGATGCCATAAGGGTAAGTCGCAATGTCATTGGGATGGGAGAGCTGGAGTTTCCACGCCTGTGTAAGGAGGTTTAAGCAACAAAATTGTGCCACCATTTGTGCTCCTTAAAATGCTCCCAATTGGGAGGGGGGAATCAAAGGACAGGCCCAATCAATAGGTTAAAGCCCTACCCCCTTTAAACACTCCTCATAAAAATTAAAGGTAAAGGTAAAGGTTCCCCTTGCACCTGTGTGCTAGTCATTCCCGACTCTAGAGGGTGATGCTCATCTCCGTTTCAAAGCCGAAGAGCCAGCACTCTCTGAAGATGTTTCTGTGGTCATGTGGCCAGGATGACTAAACACCGAACTGCTAGGTTGGCAGAAGCTGAGACAAGTAACAGGAGCTCACTCCATTACATGGCACTAGAGAAAGTCAGGCCATTTTATGGTGAATGGAAAACTCTTAGCATGTTTTGGAGTAACCCTCCTCGCCAAGGACTAAGTATTTGTAAGCAGAGCGTACGAGTTTAAAGTGTGAGAGTGGTATGGGGGCTCTTTTGGAGTGAGAGGAAAAGGAAGATGGAGAGATGAACACAAGCTGAGGCAAAACACAGGGTGGAAGAAACAGCTGTGGGCCTTCTTTGTTCATGCCTGCCAAACTCCCCTGACCCTTCAAAGAGGCCTGGCCTTGAAACAGCTCCCTTCCTTGGCTCAGAAGAAGGCTCTTCCCTACAAAAGGGATGCCAGCTGGACAGCAAGAAAGCTAGCTCTTGCCAAGGGAAAGGATTGCCCATAGTTTCTCAGCCTAGGCTACAGTCCCAGACTTGCCTGTCAGTGTGGGAGAGACCACAGGACATGCATTCATATTTAAAGATACTTATCCATTCGTTGAAATTTCATGTAATTATTTGACCGACTGAAGCTTCAAAGGAGACAGCATTTGTTGTAAAGCTTTGTTCTTGAAAGCTTAAAAGGGAAAGTGTGAATCTCTCAATCTTCCTTCTCCTTGGTGGATCCAATATTTGCTTTCAGACTCTTGTATATTCTCTACCTTAAGGAGTCTCTGCCGCTCATTTTACCCTTATGGGGAATTTGCATGGTAGAATTGCTACATTCTTTCCATGCATAATTATTATTGTTTTCCATCGTGTCTTCCTAAAAATAAACTCAGCAACATACACGTCAGTTGCTATAGCTTATGCATGTATTTGAATTGCACAATGATAATTGTTTCTGAATAAAAATCAAACCCACAAAATATTTCAGATTCTGGGGCTTGGGATGAAATGGGGTCTCCAGATATATTAGTTGGGGGGGGAAACCCTCTGCTAATCTAATATTCAGGCTCTTGGGATTTTGGTTCTAGATCAGTTCTACACAACCAAGATGTTTGTGACAATGCAATTATTAGAAAATCCCATTGTTCTCAGTAGGTGGCAGCACTTAGCTAAATTTGGTTTACCTCATAAAATAACCAGACTTCTTAGTGCTGAGATGAAGAATCAGGAGATCACTATTGACAAGGCTGGGAATTGGGAAAAATAATCTAGATGAAGGAAGTAGAAAACTATTTCTCTACTGTAGGAAATTAGCACCCACCCACCTAGGAAAAGATATTTTAGGAAATGTTAAAAGGGCAGAATATTTCCCCTAAAAGCAAGGCAGAAACTCGCACACACACACACACCCTTTGTCAATGGGCCATTAAGACCTGAGCCAGTCTATTCTACATAACAAAGATCTATCCCTTCAGATTCAGACATGGCCTTCAGGACATGATAGGATTTGCACTCTACCCATCTAGCAACAGATCTCACCACATGGCACCTGGGATATAAAGTTAACTAAGACCGCCTCCCTCTGGGAGTCTGATAGCCAGTGGGATACATTTCTTGTACAGGAACAGAAAACTCTAAGGGTGGGGGGGCAGAGAGGGCATAAAACCAGGGCACTCTCAGCATCTCTTTCACTTTTTCTTCAAGATCTTCAAGGCATGTGATCCCCTTTTTCTCCAGGACCTCAAAGCATGTGGTCCCATGCACCATTAAAACCCTCTTTCCAAATAGCCTCCATGTTTCCAGTGTCTTTCTCGCCACTTGGAACTGAACCCAGAAGAACATTTCTTCCAACACTACTGTTGCTAAGTAAACATCATGGACATAGCCATAGTCACCATGAATCTGGACGGGTTTTATATTTATGAATTCCAAGTGAATGCAAATGATAATCTTCATCATGGCAACAAATGCCTAGAGAAAAACATTATGTATGTTAATTTATTGTCATCATAATGGGTCCAATAGTTTTGTTTGGTAGTTTAAATATAATTTTATTGATATAAACAGGAGCAAGGTCATGCAAAGAATCGAATACTAACAAGTGATGTTCATTTATAAAGCCTGCTAATTTGTCTGTTTCTATTGGTGTTAAACAGCCTATGGTTTATGAATTAATTTGAACAGATTTCTTCCAGAGTGGAGTGAAATGGCATAATCTGAATGGTGCATTTATTTTATTACAGTTGTTTCCACTTCCTCTGATTTATATTGGAAATCATATAAGTGGATTATCAAGCATAGGCAAGCTAAGGTAAAGTCCAGGTGGTAAACCTAAACCGATAGTTTCTTCTTATTTAATCCTTTGTAAATTTCAAACCCCACCCCCCAAGACTGTTAAAAATAGATTATATTTTTGCACAAAAGCATCCTCTTGCCAAAGCATTGCTTTGGACATTCCAGTGTATAAAATCAGTTTATAAAGATAAGTGTTGGGCTTAGGAACTAATAATACCTGTAAAGAGACTTTACAACTAGTCATTCTACTTTCTATCCTTGTGTTTTGACATTTTCTTCCTCTCTTTTGGATGACCGATGTGTTCTTCATCTTTGACTGCTGAAAGTGGACATTGAAAATGGATGTTGATTAGACAATGGGCCATTCATCCTGTGAAAAATTGAGAGGGATGGTTAGAATATATTGCTTGAGGAGTCTGCTGCCTAAATAGAAAATTTCATGTCATGTAACAGTTTTAGTTGAGTCCAGTCTCACCCCATTGCTTAACAGATTTGTAGGTGAATCCCAATGTACAGGTTTGAATAGCTATATCAGTACATCAAGGAAGCATACCTAAAGATCTTGAGTGTAGTTCAAGTAACATGGTATTTAGATTCTAATGCATACACTATCCTCATATTTGCTGATCTCACAAGCTTATGCCAGTTATTTGTTTGCTGTCTGCATCAGGACATGCAACTGTGTGGAAATATCTGGAAAGGTTGCTAATTTTTCTCTTGGACATGCACTGGTCATTTCCCACTGCTGAAAGAAGCACCCTAGTGTACTCATAAGTATGTGTGATTATTTTGGGCTTTTGGTAACTAGGAATAAATATTTGGAATTTGCATTTTGACATAGACACCCCGTGGATTTCTAATTATCCATTAATCTAATACAGTAATATTAGGACATTCTTCTGTATTAATGGAACAGAATTCTTTATTGGCCAAGTATAATTGGACACACAAGGAATTTGTCTTTGGTGCATATGCTTTCAGTGTACATAAGGAAAATAAAATACATTCATCAAGAATAAAAATATACAACACTTAGTGATAGTCAAGGTTACTAATAAGCTATCAAATCGTACAAGGAATCAAATAAAAACAATATAAATTGAAAGATACAAGCAATATAGTTATAGTCATAAGTGGGGAGAGATAGATACTAGGAAGGAAGAGAATAATAGTAATATAGTCTTAGTAAATTATTGATAGTGTTGTGGGAATTAGTCATTAAGCAGAGTGATGGCATTTGGGGAAAACTGTCCTTGTGTCTAGTTGTTCTGGTGTGCAGTGCCCTATAATGTCGTTTTGACGGTAGAAGTTGAAACAATTGATGTCCAAGTGTCCCTCCCAGCGTGGGGGCTTCCAGTCCAGGTTAAAGAAGACTGTTTATTAGTTTCTGACTTCTGGCTCACCAAAATCTTTTCCATAGTTGCTTCGATTGTCAGCATTTAGATAGCTATTCGTGGAAAATACCATATCACTGACTACTTGAGAACTAATTTTAACTCAGTAAAAAGGAAATTACTGGAAACAAATTGTGTGATACTGATGCCAAGTCTATTTTTTTTAATTCTTACTTCCAGCTATTCTACTGTCTAAACTTTCTTTGGTGTCAGACTGACATTTGGCTTTGCAACTGAGCATTTATTTAGTGCATTCTTAATGTCAGATGAAGCTGAGGATGAAAGTAGTAAAGATAGTTAATCAGTCATGAGGGAGTTTGCTACTGACACAAACTGGTTACACTCACACACACTCTCTCTTTAAATACAGTTTGCCAATGTTTACAGTCCTGAGGAAGTTTACCATTCCTCTTACATTACTGCTGGAAATTATTATTCTTGGGTGAGTATTTGCCTCTCATTTCTGAACTACCACAATGGTTTATCGAGTCACATAATGAACCAATGCATTTTGTTGACTAATAAGAATTTGAGGAGACGTTTTGAACTGCTTAAAATTATTTGGGCAAATAATTTCCAGTTTTCAGTTGTAGCTTCAGTTCAAGGCAGCTCTTCCCCTTTGTGTCTTTCTTCCACTGTAGTGTGATATTTTGGTCAAGCCCAAATCTTTTTCTTGGCTCTTCCTTTTGCCTTTTCTTCTAAGCCACTGTTTTCCTGATTTCTGTTTGGCTGCCTTCTTTCTTTCCTTCTCTTAGCCACCTTGTCTCTTTCCTATCCTCATCCTACCAGCTCTGGCTTGCCAAAATTCAGATGGCCCCTAGAAGGCAGCAAGGGGTTTTCTGCTATGTTTTCTGTGATATTTCTGAAATGAACATCTAGTCATCCTGCAGCTGCTCCTCTTCCTTCTTTTACACACAAGGTCTTCCTCGTCTTCCTCTTCTATCTTTTTCTTTGTCCTGCATTTTAGAAACTCCAGTACTTTCCCTGTAACTATATGGATATTCTGTTGACCTATAAACAAGCCTCAAAAATATTAAAAACAGTTTCCCCTCCCAAGAAAGTACAGATATTAGTATGTTGCGTTATCTATTAATTGCTTGCTGTCTCTGAGTAACTGAGTTTTTGATTCAGTTCTCAGGAATCAGTTCTATTGAACTCAGTATTTTTCCCTTCTTAGAATTTGACAGTATTTGTGGAGTACGTTGTTCCACTTCATAGACATTTAACAATAGTTTGTTTAGTGAAAGTTCAAAGTTACAGTAGCATTGAAAAAAGTGACTTATGACCATTTTTCATACAACTCTTGTAGCAGCCCCATGGTCACATGATTTACATTTGGATGCTTGATAACTGATTCATATTTATGATGGTTGCAGTGTCCTGGGGTCATGTGATCACCTTTTGCGACCTTCTGACAAGCAGCGTCAATGGGGAAGCCAAATACACTTAACAGCCATGTTACTAATTTAACAACTGCAATGATTCACTTAACAAGTATAGCAAGAAAAGTCATAAAATGGGACAAAACTCACTCAACAAATTTCTCACTTAGCAACATAAATTCTGGACTCAACTGTGGTCGTAAGTTGAGGACTACCTGTACTGCTTAATCTCTAGAAAGTTGTAAAAGTGAACACTGACTTTGATTGACTAATTAATTATTGAATGAGGCTGATTTGGGGGTGGTGGTGCTATATATCAGATTGGGCCACCTAGTTGTGTACTATCTAGTCCTTTATTAAGAATTCCTTTTTTGGAACAAAGAATTGTTCCAAACTCTTTCTGTATATACCAAGTGTTGTATTTGTACCATCTACATGTAGAGGCTTTAAATCCTTTGGGATGAAAATGTGATTATGTTCTCCTATGGATCAAGTAAAAACAAAGATGTCTCACTCCTTCTGGAATCTCAATGTCTTAATTCCTGAATATGCATTTAGAGAGATATCATTTATTTTTACAGGAAACGCTTTCCGCTGGGCATTATAATCAGTGTGTTTGCAATCATTGTCGGGGCCTTAATAGCAGCAGGGTAAGACTTTTCTTTAGAACACCTTACTTGTTTCTTAATATTGGCGAGAAATAATATTCCTTTGTAGGTCATTGTTTGGAAGAATGATACATACAGTAAAATATTTGTACACTGCAGTTTTCTGTAGCAGCCTTCTCCAACCTAGTATCCTAAATATAGGTGGCATTTCAACTCCCCGAATTCCCATCTAGCTTGGCCAATTGGCTAGGAGTTCTGGGAGATGTAATCATTGAACTTTCAGAGAACTATGAAATGGATAAAAGTGCTTTTGATCAACAATGACAGTAATTTGGAAATTATTTTCAGATGAACTCAACTGTGCTGCAAAACAGAAGAACATGCCATTGACTTTTCTTAAACAAAGATGATCCAAAATGAATTGATGTGACTCTTGCACAGGAGTTCAGAATTTGGAATGAACTGGGGAAATTATTCTAGCCTGTCACTTACTGTTAGAATCACAACGGCCCGAGTCCATTGTTAATTACACTGAAGTTCTTACAATAAATCATGCTTTATACTGTATGATAAAAGTGTCCTGGTAGATTGGAGAGTAGTAATAACAGAGGCCTGGGAGAACTGCAGTTTCTAGTATTTTTCCTGCCAAACCAAACAAATATATTTTCAAAGCAATTGAATATGAAACATAGCCCTGGTGGCACAGTGGTTAAAGTGCTCTATTGTAGGCAAACTGCCCACAGCCTGGAGTTCGATGGGATTCAAGGTTGATTCAGTCTTCAAGGTTGGTAAAATAAGGATCTAGATTGTTGGGGTCAATATGCAAATAATGCTTACATTGTAAACCGTCCAGAGAATGCTATAAAAGACTGTGCAGTGATATATAAGCCTAAATGCTATTGCTATTGTTATGTTGAATGTTGAATGTTTATTTTATTTATATGCCGCCCTTTTCC